ACCATCCCGCTCTGCCTTGTCGAGACCTTGTATGCCCTTCGCTACACGAATGCGATTGTCGTTGGGTGCATGTTGTACATTTTCGTGGTCGTCGGCATTCGCGCTGCGATGGTTGGTGTATGGCCTGCAACTGTGACGGATGTGACGACGACGTCGGCCAAGGGGCTTTTGTACGCACTTCCGATCCAAGCGCTGAGCTTTGGGTGCCAGATCAACTCGGTCCGCATTTACGGCGAGCTCAAAGACAAGTTGTCTTCGTGCGTTTGGCGGATGGTCAGTCGAGTTGGCAGCTGACGGTGGTGAAAACCAATGTTGGCTGCTGGCTGATGGATTGGATGATGCCATTGCGTCTCGGCAGGCCGAGTGTATCGTGTTGGGTTGACTTGAGCGCTGCTTGGCTGTCTTGTGTGGTGCCAGCAGGGTGCTGTATGCTCAGGTATGCGGCTTGACTGGGAACTGCCGCGTAGGATGGTAGTTGTTGTTGCCAGAAATTGACGAAAGCTGTGGCGGGCGTCTGTCCGCAGCGGTGGGGAGGAAACGACGGATGATGTTGGCAGCGGCTGCTAATATCGAGGGGACTTTGTGTTGACGGAAGCTGTGGGGTACTTCACTGCTTCACAGTGGATTTTTTTCTTGTAAGGGCTTGGCTGAGCTGCAATTTACCTAGGAGGTGTTGTGGATTGGCTGGCTTCGGAGTCGCAACTATTGAGGCGTTAGCAGGCGGACGCGCTGCTTGATACTGAGGTTGTTGTCTTCGAGATAGAGTGTAGAAACTCTGGCTTGATGGACCCGAGTGCGGAAGTTGCAACTTCCGCGTCTCTTTTTCACCAAAATTTTGTATGCAAAATTTCTCCTCACCTCTGGACGTGGCAGGGCTTGTAACTTGGTGTTGTGGTGTTGTGCATAGAGAGATGCAAGCTTGCAGCTCACTTTTTTTTGTTGCTTGAACTTGTATCTTATTTGTTGCTGTGACTTGGGGGGGTTGTTGAAATTCGTTAAGCCTTCAGGGTAGCTGTGTCGTAGGTGGTGCTAGAATCGAGGTGTTTGGAGTAGGTGGTGGTGTGTCTTGTGGTTGAAAGGCTTGGTATGTGTCTCCACCGCGTCTTAACAGGCCGCAGAATCTTGCGTGCATTGTCTTGTCCGTCGAGTCGTCGCAGATGTGCTTGAATGTGAAGCGATAGGTACGCATGGATTTCGGCGTCAAGTGTTATGGGGTCGGGAAAGGCTTCAATGTAGAGGAGAGTGTTGCGGTAAAGCCAGAGTTGTCGGAAGCAGATAGATCGAAAGGAGTGGAGAAGAACAAAGAAGCTGTCTTGAAATTGTGTC